GGAAGGAAGGAAGGAAGGAAGGAAGGAAGGAAGGAAGGAAGGAAGGAAGGAAGGAAGGAGAAAAGAAATGGATGGATGGATGGAAGGAAGGAAGGAAGGAAGGAAGGAAGGAAGGAAGGAAGCTAGGTGGAGAATGAGGAAAGGGGGAGGCTGGCTGGGGAATTCTGGGCATTGAAGTCCACATGACTTAAGTTGCCAAGTTGAGAAACGCTGTGTAAGAACACTGTCACCAATATACTTCTGAACCTGCTTCCTCTTATGCATTGCATAAAGATCTCTGTTTTGGTCTGGCCGCATATAAACAAACTGGGGTCTCTTGCTTCCCTTTTCGAATCAAAAGCCCTTGTCAAAAGTGCTGACAGTTGACCCATTTGGCATTGCAAGCGACTGAAACACGCGCCTATTTGAAATCCGCCCGCAGCTCTTTATATCTGAAAAGCAGCGTGTTTCTGGCCGTACGGATCAGGACGCGGCAGAGCAAAAACCTTATTTGGCAGGAACAGCGTATCTTGAGAGCGGTGGCCGTGCATCCTGTCACTTGAGTCACTTTAAGCCAGAGAGAGGAAAGGGTTGTGACCCAAGTGTTTCCAGGCCAAAGTTGGATAATGGAGTTAAGTTAAATTAAACTACTTTTCTCTTTTTCCTGTTTGGGTTTTGGGTGCCTTGCTGTCTTCTGTGCGTAGGTCGGTACAAAGTGATCCTTTCGCCTTGAAAATAGTTGTACAGTGAGGGGTATTTTGGATGTCACAACCGGAGGTCCGATGGCGGGTGGTGGGCGCACTCACAATATGGCTGCTGCAAGGGACTTACCTACTCAGAAAGTGGCGTGGCCAGTTCAACAACCATGTATTTCACGTAAAGTAATAACTCCCCCTCCCACGACTTTGCGGGGCTTCATGGCAAAATTTCTATTAGTCGAACCTCTTCCCCCGTGAGATTAGGGTGAAAAGTGCCTTTTTTAAAAGAAGAGCAACCTGAACCTTCCGAGGATCGCTTTTGCCTGACACCTCCTTGTCCTGCTGCTTCTTCATCCTTGCAGTGACGTCTGGAAGTTGCGCAAGTCCTCGCTGCAGGAATTCCTTGCAGATTTCTCTCCGGATACCTCCCTGGCGATAGCGCTTTACACGGTGTTGCAGAAGCCGTTCCGAGACCACCTCCAGCAATACACCTTTGCCCTCTCCAGGCTCGTGAAAGCAGCTGGACAGGTAGCGCATCTGCAGCCGGGGACCCCCGCCCGTGCTCGTGCGTCGATGCAAGGCGGAAGAAACCGCGGCGCCTCCTTTGCGCGGCCTCGTTGCCTAAACGCGAGGCTTTTTAGTTTGGGAGTTAAAAGTGGTGCTTTGCGTGGGAAAATCTTTCTCGTCGCTCACGCCTTTCCAATTGAGGGTGTTGGTGGCAACCTCCCTGCCTCTGTGCCACTGGGGTGCTGGGTTATCTGCCTGAAATATCGCGTGGAAAAGCCATCCTGTTGAGCCTTTCAGTGACGCATTCAGTTCAGGTCAAGATCTGGCGGATGCCTGCAGAACCCAGGCTAAGCCTGGTGAGTTTTAACTATGTTCGAGTCAGAGAACTCCCAAATCATAGAATCGTACGGTCAGAAGGGACCTTACAGGCCACTAAACCAGTGTTTCTCAACCTCGGCCACTTTAAGATGTGTGGACTTCAACTCCCAGAATTCCCCAGCCATCGTACGGTCAGAAGGGACCTTACAGGCCACTAAACCAGTGTTTCTCAACCTCGGCCACTTTAAGATGTGTGGACTTCAACTCCCAGAATTCCCCAGCCATCGTACGGTCAGAAGGGACCTTACAGGCCACTAAACCAGTGTTTCTCAACCTCGGCCACTTTAAGATGTGTGGACTTCAACTCCCAGAATTCCCCAGCCATCGTACGGTCAGAAGGGACCTTACAGGCCACTAAACCAGTGTTTCTCAACCTCGGCCACTTTAAGATGTGTGGACTTCAACTCCCAGAATTCCCCAGCCAGCTTGAAGTCCACACATCTTAAAGTGGCCGAGGGTGGGGAACCCTGCACTGAAGCATTTCCTGGCCGAAGCCCATCCAGGCTTTGCTTGAAGTCCTCAAAAGAAGCCGAACTCATCACACCCCGTGGCAGCCTGATCTGCTGGCTGATAGCTCATACAATCATGCGGTTCCTCCTGGTGCTCGTCAGCCCCTCAGTTCTGCCCCTTCCCTCTGGGGAACCAGGAATAAGTCTACGTGACAATCCTTCAGATATTTGAAGACTGCTTCGTGTTACCTGGGTGGCTGTGTCTCCATCCAGGTGCATCCTGTGTGAACCCAGCCCATTTCACTCCTTTGGGAACCAGTGGTTGGGGTTCATTCTGGAACCAGGTTAAGCGGGTTGTGCGAACGCCGCAGGGCCTGCACGATCTCAGCCGTCCGTCCAGACGATGCTCTCCAGCTGGCGGGACCCGCTCAGGGTTCACTGCCATGTGAATCTGAACCCAGACGCGTTAATTCCAGAAGCAGCTGAACCCCCCTTGGCCAATGTCCACGTTGACCAGGAAGGGGTTGGGAGGCGAGCCGGCTCAATTCCAAAGGGCCGAATTGCTCTGCTTTTCTTTTAACAGGGCTTGGAGGAAGAAAAGGTCGCCAATGCTTTAGAAAAGTTTGCAAAGCTGCGTTCGTTCGCCAGCCAGGTCCTGGACGAAGCCTGCCTCACCGCGGGTTTGTGGAAGTCTGTGGGATCGAAGCTCAGGGTGTGTTCCCGAGAAAGGGTGGCTAGGTGGGAGGGGAAGGGATCCCAGGGGCTGCCCCCCAGAGCCCAGCCCGAATCTCATTCTTCCTCAGTTTAAGCCTTGGCTCTGCTCCTGCCCTCTGGGGCAGGCGGGATAAGCGTGGGACAACCCAGCAGCCATTGGGAGACTGCTCCCGGCCAGCCTTGGTGCCCAAGGGAGGAAGAGTTAGAGCCCGGGAATGGATTCAAGGGACGGAGGGGAAAATCACAGAATATAAAGTCCTAATGTTGGGAGGGGCCCTAAAGGTCATCTAGCCCAACCTCTGCTCACAGGAACGTCTCTGATCGATGCCTACCCAGCCTCTGCTTGGAGACCCCCAGCGAGGGAGAACCAAGGGGCCACTTGTTGTCTCACTCCCAAGTTCCCCCTTGAAAGCTCAAAAGATGTTGACCACCCCCGTGCAACGTGCAGGGACTCCCTGATCGTAAAGTCTCCTTCCCACCAATGCCCCTTCTTTCTCGTCCATGCAGCTGGTGCAATTCCTCCGTTTGCTGCCTCCCTCATGGCACGGCCTGCAGCGAGGAGAAGATGAGGATGATGATATTTTTAGCCTGCCTTTTTTATATATAACTACAGTGGCATACATCCTTTCTTATAAAGGGCAGCCCTTTACTTCAGAAAGCTGCCCTTTAGATTGATTTCATTTAATTATTTCTTTACTTGGTTTTGCTCTTGAATTTTCCTCGGTAAACCAAAGCTATGAACAATGCATTCTTTTCTATCCTTATGAACCTCTTTCAGATTGGCCCGTTATTTTTTCCAAGAAAATAGGCTCACTGTATATATAACTCAAGGCGGCGAACATCCCTCATACTCCTTCCTCCTCCTATTTTCCCCACAACAACCCTGTGAGGTGGGTTGGGCTGAGAGGGAGGGACTGGCCCCAAGTCACCCAGCCAGCCTCTGTGCCTAAGGCGAGACTTGAACTCAGAACCTGCTGGTTTCTGGCCCGGCAGCTTCACCCCTGCCCCAAACTGGCTCTCCAAAAATTCATCCCGGCATCTCCCCCTTGCAGGACGTCCTCTGCACGCCCGAGAGACGGCTGCTGGAAGACAGCGGAAACCTTCCTATCTTTGCCAGCACAGGCAGAACGGATCGCGTCCTGCTCTTCAACGATGCCCTCGTGCTGATCCAGGTAAGATGGCAAGTTCGATTTGGGGCGCTGCTGGCCTGGGACGGGGAGGGTTGCCATCTGCATGACCACAGGGACAGGCGTCTCAGTTGTTCTCCTGTTTTAAAGCACTTTTATTCATTTTTTATTTGCTTGCATTTCAAATTTGGCCACCACCCATCTCACTAGGAAGTGACACTGGGCGGTTTGCAGTAAAAACAGTAAAGCACGACTGGAAAGATTGGTTGTAATTCTCCAAATCTTGGGGATTCTCCAAGCCGGTTGCACATGTAAGCCCTGGCGCTCACTGCTTCAAGATCAGAAGCGGAGAGAATTACACCTTAGCCACGCAGGCTCTCCTCCTGAGCCTTAGAAATCACAGGAATCAGAAAAGGACTTTGCTCAGCCGCCTATTACGCCCTTAAAGCAAACAGAAATGCAATAGAAATGCAAATGTTGGCTGGCACTAAAGCAAGGAACAAGGAGCTGGTGACGGTCTGCTCGGTTTCGGTGGTCGTTGTTTGGCTCTGCTGAGGCTCTCTCTCTCTCTTTTCAAATCCTGAAACGTTCTAGGGGAACCATTTCCAGAGTTTTGATCTGAAGCTTCTGTGGGTGGATGCAACTTGCAGAGAGACCGGAAAGTGAGTGAAATGGATTCAGTGGCTGAAACAGAACAGGGGGAAAGTTTATCGCCTTCCCCGTTTATCGCCTTGGTAAACTTTAGTGTATGTAGCGTCGTCACGCATACAGGCTTGTAGTGCAGTGCGGAGTGTCTTGTAAACGCACGCTGAGAACCGAAATCAAGGGAAGGGGGAAAGTTTACTGGAAAGAGGACGATCACTGACTTTTCCTAACCATAAACCTCCAAAGCATGGGATGATGGCAATGATGGGGATGAAGAAGAAGAATTGGATTTGATTTATAGAGTCACCCATCCCACAGTAGCAACTCTGGGCAGCTAACCCAGCTTACAAACCCTGGCTCCAAAGAGCATCAGTAAAAGAAAACAAAAAGGCTTTGAATGGCAGCTGAGGATAAACCAATCCTCAAAAAAGTGAACACAAATTTAATGGGCTGAACGAACCTCCTCATCGCCTGCATGTTTAGCTTCCTCTCTCCTCAAAACTGAGAAGGAAACTGCTCTTCCTTTGCTCCCCAAATAATATTTTCCTTCTGGGGCATACGGCATTGCAATTTTCCTGCTCTGGAAAACTTGAGAAGCTGGAAGTTCCTCTGCTAAGGTGGGGTGGGGGTTGCAGTTTTAAAAAATGAGAAGGAGGCCGGTGGAAAAAACCAGGGGAATCAGTGGTAAAGGTAACAGGGAGGGAATGTACAAAATCAGCCCAGAGTTCTCACTCAAGACACACATGACCAGGCTCAAATTGATCCTACCTTGGATATCTTATGTGAAGACTTAGCTCTCTAAATAAGGTTCTGACGCTGGGAAAGGTGCAAGGAAAGAGGTGAAGAGGTTGACCAGCCACAAGGTGGAGGGACTCAGTTACAGACATGAGGAATGCACTGTTAGGAGATCTCAAGGACCAGGACAGATCTCAGGACAGATCATTCTAGAGAAGGTCCATCTATGTGGTTGCTAAGAGTCATCACCAACTTAATGGCACGTAATCATTCAGTGTGAAGACTTAACTCTCTGGAAAAGTCCATAATGCTGGGAAAGGTAGAAGGAAAGAGAATTAGAGGATGACCAGCAGAAGGGGGATGGACACAGTTACAGTGATGACGGGCATGCCATTGGAAGGCCTGAAGGACGAGGTTGGGTTGCTAAGAGTTGCAATCAACTTGATGGCACATAATCAAGAAGTATCTTGAGTCTGCCTTGGGGATCATCCAGGAGCCACACTTAGGTTAAACTAATGCTATTGCGTGCCATATTTCCAGGAGGAAATAGAGAAAAGGAAAGAAGACCTACAACAGTGTTTCTCAACCTTGGCAGCTTTAAGATGTGTGGACTTCAACGCCCAGGATTCCCCAGCCAGAATCCTGGGTGTTGAAGTCCACACATCTTAAAGTTGCCAAAGTTGAGAAACACTGAACTACAAAGCTACTTGAACATAGAGAATGCATGTGTGAATTGCTGCAGTTGAGGGAAGAGGCCTCTTAAGCTTCAGGAGGACAGGAGACTGAGATGAGTGGGGGAAAACTATGGTCCATTATCAGATGAAGGATTGGGGTAAAGAGGCAACTCTTGTCCTCTGCTGCCAAGGAGATCTGCCAGCAATGGTTGGGCACCCATCACTGGAGAGGTTCTCAATCTGTGTGAAGTTCTTGTAGCCCCCCTAGGTCAACACAGTACAGGAAACCCAGAATGAGAACATCTCCAGCAGATGGATGGCCAACCATTAAGAACTTCCTCATGATGTGGGAACTGTGCCTTCCTGAATCTTAAGTCTGGTAGATCTTGGCAGTAGAAGACAACTGTTGGATGTGTTTGTCAGTCATCAAATGACAGCAGGTTTTTTCCCCACCCATCTCAAACTCCTGTTCTCTAGACCAGTGTTCCTCTACCTTAGCAACTTTAAGATATGTGGACTTCAACTCCCAGAATTCCCCAGCCAGCATGG